TTGGAGAGAAAGGGAAGAGCCAGGGCTTTGCAGCCAGGAGCCTTGGAGTCTAACGTCTTTGTGTATTAGCTCTGTGTTTGGGGGGTCAGACTGTTAACCTCTTAGGACCTTAGTTTCCTCACCTCTAAAATGAAGATAGTACTAACACCAGTCTCCTGTGAGCAATGAAAGAATCAATCTCTGTGTACACTATTCAAATGCTAGTTGTATGTGTTATTTAAACAAACAATGGTCTTTAAGGAAGTTATAGAGAATTTTCCTGGGGATGGGGGAAGCTTGGAAGGAATCTAGATGTAAGCCGATGACACCTTGCTGTAAAGAGTGGTTTCTTTTATAACTCATTAATGCCCGCCTAGTAAAAATGGGGGAAACACTGGTGGCGTAGTGGTTGAGTTCGGCTGCTAACCAAAAGGTGGGCAGTTCAGATCTACCAGGTGCTCCTTAGAAACCCTGTGGGGCAGTTCTGCTCTGTCCTATAGAGTCGCTATGAGTCGGAAGCGACTCGACGACAACAGGTTTGGTTTGGTTTTGGTTTAGTAGAGATGGAAAATGGGATCATTTTATCCCAGTGGTTTTCTCATTTCTTTCCCACATTAGTTTTTGTCTTGAATCCTCAAAAAGGCAGATTCATTTCCTTTAAATGGCAGCCCAGCTCTGTTAAGATCATGAACTTACTGATACAGTCAATTTATAATTAGAGTGGCTTGGGTCCTAAAAAAGTTTGGAACAGTAAGTGAGAGAAGAGGCCCCTTGATTTAGTGAGACTTCCTCACTATTTCAAAAATTGAGTGTCCACAAACTTTAAGATACATAAAAAAAGATCAAGGCAAGTGCTGTGCAAGCCCTTTGCAAGTTGAGTTCCAAATATGTCCAAATCTTTTTGTGTTAGTAGTAAAAATGAAGTAAAGAAGACTGCAGTGAGTCATAAATTTGTTGCTTTTCTCTTAGCAGTTTTCCCAGAGATAAAAGAAAACATCTTTGATTCCACCTTTCTCTGTGCATGTTTTTTTTTAAGTAGAATAATAAAAAAGACAGCAATTATCCAGTCATATTAATTTTAAAATGCAAGTTTTATGTACTCTTGTCAGTGTAAATATTTCTGGTAATTGAGAGAAAGCAGGGTAGCCTTCATATTTCTATTTTTACATTTTCTGTTTAGACCCAAGTGTTTGGGAGATTAAAATTCAGACAAAGGCGTGTTGCCCTCATGTTTTTCTGATATGTCATTAGCTATATTTACATTTCCCCAGCACATTACTAATTTTATGCCGTTTGTCGACGTCGTCAGGATGAAAACCAGGTATGCAGTGCCTTCACAATTTATAATCCAGCAACAGGCAGCTTGCCTTTATTTTACTGTACTTTTTAGTGTCTTATTGAAATGAAATTCTGTCAAATCCAAGTTGTGTCTGACAATGATAAATTTTTTTTTTTTTCTCTTTTTAAGTCTTAGGGAACTATTTTTCTGACTAATGCTTCTAAAAACCACTTATATGTTCAGGACGGTATCTGCTTAATAGTTGCCCTTTCTAGAAATTGGGAGTTGCTTCTAAGGCCTCGATAGTTTCCTCATCTCTTTCTTAGTCTTACCTTAGAATATAAAATTTTGAAATAAAAGATGCAGCACTGAAGCATTTTTAAAATGTAACACCCTTCGCTTTATATTTTTCCTTCCCAAAGAAGTGGCAGTCTCAGACTTCATAAACGCACACTGTTTACTCTTCCGTGACTAAGGATGTTCTGGGAAAGGATTTATGAAGATTTCTAGAGGAAAGACATAGGTAGAGGGCAAACATTAGGAGGTGGCCAGCGGAAGTCCCCAGGAAGAGGTTGAAAGGTGCACAGGGGAGAAGTGTGCTAAGTAAACAAAGTCCTGTTAGGAGCATCCTTCCTGATGGAGGTCAGAAATACATATCGAGGACTGAGCTAAATGCTGTCATTCTTCCCTTTGGTTTAGACTCTGATGGCATTGTCCCCAAAGGGCTAGATTTTAAGCACTTTCTTTGAGATTCTCTGGTACTTCTCCTTTAGTAGGGCCCAAGTGATTATTCAAGGACATCTAAGTAAAGGCTGAGCGTTCGGCCACTAACCCAAAAGGTTGACGGTTCAAACCCAACCAGCGCCTCCAAGGGAGAAGACCTGGTGTAAAGATTACTGCTAAGAAAGTCCTGTAGGGCAGTTCTACTCTGTTGCATGGGGTCGCTATGAGTTGAAATCGACTCAGAGCACCTAACAACAACAACAAGTAAATGCTGTGGTCTAGGTAACAAAACTTTTACCTTTATCTCAAAGGACTTACCCCGATCTAATGATTAGATCCAGAGAAAGCTCTTCTGATTGCCTTTGGTGGGGTACTTTGGAGTTTTTAGTTCTGTTAAGGTTGAGTTCCTGGGTGGCGCAGTTGAACTGATGACAACCAACAACACAACAAAGTTCTCGTTAAGGAGTCCCTGGGTGGTGCAGACAAGGAGCCCTGGTGGTACAGTGGTTAAAGTGCTTGGTTGCTAACCAAAAGGTCAGTGGTTCAAACCCGCCAGCTACTCTGTGGAAGAAAGATATGACAGTCTGCATCCGTAAAGATTTACAGCCTTGGAAACCCTGTGAGGCAGTTCTACTCTGTCCTGTAGGTTTGCTGTGAGTCAGAATTGAGTCGATGGCAGTGGGTTTTGGGTTTGGTTTTTTGAGTGGTGCAAAAGGTTAATGTGCTCGGCTGCTAACTGAGAGGTTAGAGGTTCGAGTCCACCACGAGACCCTTGGAAGAAAGGCCTGGTGATCTACTTGCAAAAACTCAGTCATTGAAAACCCTATGGAGCACAGTTCTACTCTAACATGCATAGGGTTGCCATGAGTCAGAATTGACTTGACAGCAACTGGTTTTTTTTTTTTAAAGTTCTTGCTAACTGCAGATACTATTGGAGCATCATCAGATGTCACTAATTTGTGTGCCAACATACTATATTCATTCAGCGAATATATATTGAGCACCTATACTTGGTAGTCACTGTTCTAAGCACTCAGGGCACATCGGCGTTAAAAGATCATTACCTTCATGAAGCCTACCTTTGAGTTGGAGAAACAGACCATAAATTGTGAACATAGTAAATAATTATAGTCTGTTATTAGATGACTCACCTCTCGTCTGTCAGTTTGTCGTACGGTGGTGGCTTGCATATTGCTGTGACGCTAGAAGCTATGCCTCAGTGAGATGAATTGACACAGTGGCTGCAACAACCGGCTCAAACATAGCAACGATTGTCAGGATGGCACGGGACTGGGTAGTGTTTCCTTCTGTTGTACTGTGAGTCGGAACCGACTCGATGGCACCTAACAGCAGCAACGTTAAATGATAATTATTTGGGGAAAATTAGAGCAGGGTGAGGGAAATTGTGAGTCCTGGGGGGGTGGGGGTTGCAATTTTGAGCAGGATGGTCAAGGTGATGTTTGAGCAAAGGCTTGAAGGTCAAGTTAGATTCACATTTTGTTACGACACGGGGAGCAGAGGTGGAGCAGCAGTGTGGTGAAGGCAGGTCAAGACACAGGGCAGGCCACTCATGGATGTAGGTTCTAGTCCCAGCTCTGCGTCTCTCTGGTAGTAAAACTTCCCCATGTTACTTTAGCCCTCTGGGGTCTAGTTTATAAACGTTCAGGTCCGTGTGAATTTATTAGTCCTTACAAGAAAGGACTTTGCACTTGTGTATAGGGTCGCTATGAGTTGGAATTGACTCAATGGCAGTGGGTTTTTTTTGTTATTGGCTTGGAGGTAGGTGGTGGGAGGAGGTGAAAAGGGTTTGCCTTGGCATTTTCGTCTTGATTTTTGTTGTTGTTAAGCTAAACTGGGTGTGAGGCTTATTCTAATAATCATTACTAAAACTCTGTATTAGGATAAGATCTTCTTTCTTAAAAGATAAACACATCCAATATAAGCAACCTGAAGTTCCATAAAAAAAAGTTCCTACTGCATGGACCTTTAAAGGTGGAGCAAGATGCCTGTGAAGGTGGGAGGTGGTAGGCAGAGGAGATGCTTGTCTCTCCTTTCTTGGTTGTTCCCAATTAGTGGGAATCCATCCCATAATGGGCCAGTTAGCATTTGCCCTGACCACACGCTCCACACCAACGAATTGTGCTAAAAATGGGAAAAGGACATTAATGGGAAAACTGGTGAAATGTGAATAAAATCTGGAGTTTAGTTCATAGCAATGTGGATTTCTTCATTCTGCCAAATGTACCATGGTTTTGTAAAATGTTAACATTGGGAGATACTGATGTATATGGGTGTGCGGAAACTCTGAACTGTCTTTGCAACTTTCCTGTAAATCTACAATGGTTCCAAATTAATAAGCTTTCTTTAAAAAATAATGCCCATTGTGGACTCAGGTGACTTGGGCTAGAGTGGATCCTGTCACTGTGATCAGAAAAACAATGCAAAGCATGCCTCATTTTTTGTGGGTCAGTGGTGTCAGCTTTTATAGTAAATGCAAGTGTGGGATAGCTCTAGTCTGAGCTTTTTTCTTTGGCCAGTTCTCCATCCTCACCTTACCCACCACACTCCAGTTTTTTTTTGCTTTGGGCATTGCCTTTGACTCATGTTTATATTCAATATTTTATGAGAGAATAATTACTTGAAAGCATTCTTCTTTAATAGGATTAGGTAGGGAGACCTGTCCTGCCTATTAGCACTAATAGGTAAGGGAGTCAGCAGCATGTACAGGAAAGAAGACATTTAGAGAAACCAAAGAGAAAATGCCCAAAGACTTTGTAGAGGCAGCACTTCTTAACATATTGTAGGTTCAAAAGATTCAGAAGCCCACACTCTGGAGAGTCCTGCACTTACAGAGTGATTTGCATTTTGTGCCTGGTGCTCAGCCTGTTGTGATCAGTTGTGGTCCCTTCCTGCCGTTTAGCACAAAGTCATTGTGCATTGCATACTTCATTAAGTATACGGGGCAGCTTAGAGGGGGAGTGGCCTTTTATATATTATAATGCCATTTCTCTTTTGACAGCTGCAAATCAGAAGGAGCCCATGAATCTTAATTTTAAAGTGAAAGAGGAGCCTAAGGAAGAGGAAGCCGTAAGTGCGACCTTGCCACCATCCAGCTATGTGTTCAGCCCAGAATCTCAAGTGTCAGCCCCAAGCATCCCTGAGGACACACTTCAGCCCCAGGAAGGGAAGGGGAATGTGCTAAGGCGGGATATGTCAGTCAAAGCAGCATCTGAACTTCTCATGAAACTATCAGGTACTTGATTTTATTCTGAAATATTCACATCCTGATAATTTCACTAGCAAGCCAGCCTGGCTGCTGCTTCCGGCTTAGGTTATAATTAACCCAGTGGAAGCGATATCATGTTATTGCAGTGAATTCAGGAACGATCGTATTACTTGGCTTAAATCCCTGTGTTGTAGGTATGTGTTTGTTTGCGTGTGTTAGCTGTGTACCTGTCTTATTAAATATAACCTTCTTTTCCTGGGTAATACTGCAAATTATTAGGAAACACTGCTCTTTTCTAAGATGATGTAGGTCATAGTTTTAAATGGGTTCTAATGACATTCCAAAGCACTTCTGCTAATTGATCAAAATATCTATTCTTTTCTAATAGAGACCCTTGCGTTTTTGATGTATTTATACTATATTCTTAAGGACCATTGAAAAGATTTTTTCTTAATTTAATAAGCAGTTCAGATGACACTTGAATTGCCAAGAGTAGCAATGAGACATTTTATGAATAGAAAATTTCATAATAGAATATTAAAATAATTAATCTGTGTTCTTAAGATGAATGAATAATTCTTTACTAGTATGTAACTGTAATCACAGCCATACTATCAAATATAAGAAAAATTGCTTAAAATATGAAATTCATGTATATTGGATTCTTATCCACCTAGTCTCCTATCTACCCCTCTCCTCTAAGGAACAGGTAAAAATATAGTGTCTTTTTTATGCAAAAGTATGACTTTCAGAACATGGGATGAAAAGTTTTATCAATAATAGTACTCGTCAAGTCATATCATATCAGTAGTTCACTGCTACTTAAAGGCACTTATTGGAAACTATATTTAAAATGCTAATATGAATCAAAAGCTGTTTTCAGTTTGTAACTTGCCGGGCTTGGAGGATGAGAGCGAGAAATGCATTGGGGAAACGCCTTCCCTCTGATCTGTAATTTCATTAGCAATTCTGACTGTGTTTCTGGTTGACCAGTAGGTTGGAAAGTATGAAATTAATAGTGATTTACTTAGAGTCATCATATCAAAACAGTTGAAATTCCTGTATTTGCCAGTGGGTGGGGTTAAGAATGCTTTTCTTTGGTGTTAATTCAAAACACTCTGGAACTTCAGTGGGTCATGATTTGATATAGATAAAATGTCATACAATTATTAAGTCCATATTGTAGCCCCATTTTTCTAAACTTTGCAGTAATAGTGCACTTCTGCTTTACAGATGGGAGGTCTGGCAGGATTGTTGAAAGCTGATCCCTTAGATTATTCAAGCCAACACATTGTAGTATGTTTGAATCCTCCCTCCTGTGACAACAGGTCTCAGTAACCTAGAGTATGCCATCTGGTGTTTTTCTGTTCAGTCTAAAGGGGTCACACAGCCTCTCGGAGTCTTCTCCCATAGCATAGACATTCACATTACAATGACTTTAACTTCTTATGGTAAAATTCTACTGCATAACGTTTCTGTTTCAGGATTCACTGTGCAGCCAGTATTGCGGGGTGGAGTGTGTCCCACAAAAACATAATATGCAAACATGAAGCATACCAGTTGCCGTGGAGTCAATTCTGACTCATGGCAACTGCCTGTGTGTCAGAGTAGAACTGTGCTCCATTGAGTTTTCAATGGCTGTTTTTTCAGAAGTAGATCACCAGGCCTTTCTTCTGAGGTACCTCTGGGTGGATTTGAACCTCTGACCTTTTAGTTAGCATCTGAGCGTGTTAACCATTTACGCTACCCAGGGACTCCAAACATGAGGTGACAGCAAAGATATTTAAAAAAAAAAAAGAAAACATTTTATCTTCCTCCATTTGGATGGTGTGATTTGCAACACTAAAATATGAAGTAATTTTGTAGATAGTAATAAATCCCTCAAATAGAATAAGGTTCTGCAGCCATGCATGTTTAATGACATTCATGGACAGCAGTGGCCCTTCTGAATGTTTCATGTTGACTTTTATTGAGCACAAGTAGTGTGTAGGGTTCAATGGTAGTTGAGTAGATGACATGGTCGTATTTTCAAAGGGGGAATGGAATGCCTCTGCTTCATGATGTGGAAATGAAAACTGGTTTGAAGACTAAGGCAACTATTTATTTGTTTTGAAAACTTCCCCCAGCATTTTATGTGCAAGAAAGTCAAGTAGTACAAAGAAGTATACATCGCAATCTTGCCCTCTAGGTCTTTTCAGAAATAATATAGGGCAACAGAATCCACTCAGTGAGTGGCATGCACTTGGAACTTAGTCCTGCTATGCTAGTTTACTGTGCTCGAATAAACTGCAAGGGACGGGTGCCGTCCAGTTGGTTCCAACTCATAGTAACCCTATAGGACAGGGTAGAACTACCCCATAGGGTTTCCGAGGAGCGCCTGGTGGATTCGAACTGCCAACCTTTTGGTTAACAGCCGAGCTCTTAACCACTACGCCACCAGGGCTCCGCAAGGGACTACTAGTTTCCATGTTCGTCCTAAGAATAGGCATGCACCTTAAAAATCAGAGGTCTTTTCATTCCTAAGCCACAATGTAAAGAGAACTCACTCTTTGTTAGGGTTAAAGTGGATATTAGTGTTTCTGATAGATCAGTGTTCTTGCAAGAAGGAGACATTAGGAAAAAACTTCCTGTGCTCTTTTTCCTCAAGTTGTATTTTTAGCAATGTTAACATTCATGCCCTAGAAGATATCCAAGTAGAAGACTTGTCAGTGTTCTCAGACCCCCTTTTCCAGGACCATTCCTGCCCCTCTACGTTTGAGAGTAGTAATTTGTTTCCCAAAGCATCTATGTAGTTACTCAGGGCTGCTTCTTGCTCATCTCACCTGCTACCCACAAAGCCTTGCTGCAGGCATTCTTGTAAATTTGAGTCCCTGTTGCCTCCTGCCTTGTTAATTTTCCTTTATATTCTTTTGTCATGCTTGGAAAAATTCTTCTGGTCATGAAGAATTGAATGAGAAAAGTATGTCCCATGCATTATAATACATTTTTTTCCTTTTTTCACTTTTGACCCAAAGAATAGCCAAGATGTAGAATAAAAGGATTCTTCCTCTCTCTTCTTTCCCTGAGGTTGGAAGTTGTGGCCAGTAGCTTAAGTCCTTCCAGTCTTTTCATTGAAATAATAAGAGGAAACTAGTCAACGATTTTGGCTGCTTCATTTCCAGTTTCAAATTAATTTGTGTTAACTTCTTAAGGGTGGATGTATGGCACATGGCCCAGTCAAATATCATGTGAAACTTTTCTTTGTGGAGCAATCTCTGTAGGTGTATTGTTTTCCAAATTACATGTAGGTTTTATGGAAAAAACACAGATGAGTTACAGAGTAGGCTAGATGTTTTCATTAGTTGTTTGTTTGGGAAGATCTGAGTTTTCTTCCTTCCTGTGGCTGAAGTTCTATTTCCAGTTGTTAATTGGGAAGTCGAGTGCTTGACAGCTGGGCAAATAAATTGATTGCCATAAAGAAAGCAACCGATTCTCAGGAACCACTGGATGTCTGTGACTACCTGTTGTTATATGACACAAGGCAGCCAAAATAATCAGACTTTTCTGCTAAGCATATAGTTGCCAAAGATAATTCCAGAAGTCTTGATTTAAGGAGGCCAAAATCCTGAAGCTAGCTCAAGACAGAGGATATATGACGCTAGACAGCGTAAGATAATCAAGGCACTTATAACACACAACTCTGGTTTTGCAATGTCTAGTCACCTCCCAAACTTATGGGATAGATGTGCTATCACAAGATGTGATGTAATGCTGAAAGTGACATAAAATTTTATTTGCTTTGTTTCTGTTGTATTTTAAGAGAAATAGCTAGAAGCAAAGCGAGAAATAAAGCTACGCCCTCTTCTCCCTTTGGGAGCAATCCTTCTGCATGGGAACACATATATAAAATATACCATGCATATGCTTGGGCCAACCTCAAAGTAGCAGATAAGAATGTCATTTAAAAATATGAGTTTCACATGCACACATACAAAAGTAGCTGGAAAGCTGGAGTTATTCAGAAACAATGAAACATTAAACATGTAAATATATCTAACATGGTAAATAAAACTTCCTATCAGACCTTAATACGAAATGTCTTTTTTTTTTTTTTTAATTTCTGTGCGTAAAGAAGGAAACTGAATGGATTTATATTCCTCCCTGCCTAGTCTTGGAAAGAAATAAATTATAATTGTCTCTTATAGAGGAAGGAATCCAGGCAGAACCAGGATTTGAAATGTACAGTGGCACAAAGTTCAGTGTATCACCTAAGTAACGCAGGGCATCAGCTATGAGACATTGGAAGCAGGTAAACTTGGGTAAAGGAGCCCTGGTGGTACAGTGGTTAAGCTCTTGGCAGCTAACTAAAAGGTTGGTGGTTCGAACCCACCAGCTGCTCTGCTGGAGAGAAGACCTGGTAATCTGCTCCCGTAAAGATTATAGCCTGGGAAACTCTATGGGGCAGTTCTGCTTTGTCCTATATGGTCATTATGAGTCAGAATCGACCCGATAGCACACAATAACAACAAAAACTTGGGTAGGGTGAAGTTTTAAGGTGCATTTAGTCTCTGAGGCAAACTGAAATGAGAAGAAAGGGACCAAAGATTGACTTTTTAACGGTTTTAATTAGGGCCCCTTTGGTTGAAAGGAGCCCTGGTGGCACAGAGCTCAGCTACTAACCTAAAGGTCAGCAGTTCAAATCTACCGGCTGCTCATTGGAAACCCTATGGGTCAGTTTACTCTGTCCTATAGGGTCTCTATGAGTCAGAATTGACTTGACTGCAACGGTTTTAGTTTGGTTTTGGTTGTAAATAATAGAAACCCTCTTCAGCTGGTTTAGGCAAGAAAGGAGAATTTAATAGAATGTGTAGGTTGGTTTATGGAACCCAAGGGCAGGGATGCAGCAGGCCTCAGGCCCCCACTGAAACCAGGCACGGGAGGGCCACATGGAACCCAGGAAGTCCTCGCTCTCCACCCATGCCTGCTTCGTTCTAGGCTTCTCCCTCATTAGTCTACCTTGATACGGATGGACTTTTTCTGTCACCCCA